GTGTTATTTAGAAGTAAACTTCATATGTAAAATTTAATGAATAATAAATAATGAAACAGTAATTCGGATTTCATATTTATTTACAACAACAAAAAATATATAATTCAATGTCCTGTAGACATTTCAAGTATTTTAAATTTTGAAGGTACTTTTGAAATCCACTCTTCCAAATATTATATTTAATTAAAACATTTGGTCCAGAATACCATCAAAATCAGCTTATCTACTGGTACTTTCATCATCCTCTTTTACTAATTTGTTTTAAGTCAAGCCATAAAAAAATCTTCCTTTAGAAACTTAAGAGTATCTTTGACAGACGCTAGTTTTGATAATGAAACAATAGTAGTAGGTACATACAAATCATGCTAAACATGAATCTGGTCACTACTAATTTGTAAAATACATGAAAGGGTGACCATCATAGTTTTCTATGAATTGAAAAATAAATACTGATAGCAAAATGATCCATAATGATAAATCTATAATCATTTAGATCTTTTCAGTTAGATATATTAATTTACAGAAAATTTAAGTTATTCTAATCTAGTTTGGATTAGTAAATATATATTAGTCTCAAATAAATCCACTAATTCATACGATCACATGTTTTAACTATCAACAAAACTAACTGATAATTACTGGTTACAATAGAGGTTATCATAATTTTGACTAACTTAACATTTGTAAAAATATTTCGAAAGTCCAATTGTTGTTGTTGGGTTTTTTTATTGACATAAAAGCTAATGATTTTGTTCAGATAATAAAAAAGGCATTTAATATATACAGTCTATCTAATCATTCGTGATATATATATATATATATATATACCTACAAGGAAATATATAAGCATGGTAAAGTTTTCTTTTCTTTTCGGTCATTAAGTAGTTTCTATGACATTTAATCATTTTTTTTATTCATCTTAGTCTAGTAACTAAAGCGTTGTTCATTGATTATTTTTAAAAAAAATATTATTACTATGGTAAAGTATATGATTACATCGTTAAACTACTATTATTCAACTACATTTTGCTTTATTGAAACTTTTTTTGTTTTTTGTTGGAAATAAAATGGTTATACATTACCGACAATGAACTAATTAATCATTTGTCATTATAAAATCGTTTATATTTATCCTGAAACATTCATTCATTTACAAAATAGAAAAAAACAACGTTATTGAGTTTATTCATTTATTTTTTTTTGAACTAATATTTGTCATTTAATATAGTTCAAGCTAATTATCGATAGGATAGTTTTGTTAAGAAAAAAAAATAATCATCAAAGTATCTTGTTCTCTTATAGATCTTATTATGAACATTCCGGTAATATAAACTATACATTCTTTTGTATCTATATGATTACCCTCAATGTATTATTCTTTTTTGTTTCTCTCTGTCTAATTAGGTTTTGTTTTTCTAAAATATAATACATGAAACGTGAAAGTAAATGTAGTTTTGCCTACCAGATAGGTTTATTATTTTAATAATATGCTAATATACATGCTATTTGTTTAACCTCGTGAAGTATTCAAAAAAGTCTTTTTATCTTATTGCAAAAACGTAAATAATTTAACAATTTGTTTTTGGAGGGGGATTTAACAGCAATAATGAGTGTAATGTTGATAATAAAGAGATGGTATAAAAATGATCCGTTTATAGTAACAGTAAGATTAAGTAAATGAGTAACAATCCAGCGGTTTAATAAAAACTTTAAATACGGTTAAAATGTTGTATTTATGGGTTTTGGTTTTCTCATTGTTGATATTCTAGACTGTAATTAGTCATACCATATAAGCAGATATCTCTTTTTTTAATGAATTGCTCCAATATTCTCGGCATTCAAATGTGTCCGTTTTCAATCAATCCGGCTCAATGGTCTAGAGGTGAAGTTTTTGAGCGCAAAGCCGAAAGTTGTGAGTTTGATTACCGCATGCAGGTAGAGAATGGGCACTATTGAGGGGCTCCCGTCCAATATTTCCAAGTTTTCACTTGTGGTCTAACTTAGGTCACTTCGTGATTTTAATGAAACTCAGTAATCTCCACAAATTCATATTGACAATATTTGGTATCCAACAGAACAATCCATCTAGAACCCACTGTTAATGTTCACAACAAACTTCAGAGTGATCAAATGTAGTTTATAATATACCCAACGAGGAAAATTAAACATAAAAATATGTACATATATATTGTGTACATAACTTTAAAAGTGATGATCAAATAATTGGCCAAACAAACTTTAAAGCTAAGTGGATAAAGTTATGTGCGTTTGAAGAGACAAGTACTTGGTTAGAATCCTGATGCAAATATCAGCTAATGAGCCCGAAATGGAAGAAACAAAAGCTCTGGATTTTACTGTTAAACAAAGTTAAACTTTACTGAAACAGTTAAAATGATTTTTGAATGGATAATCTTTGGTATATCACATCAAATGTTGGTTAAAATTAAGCATGTAGAATTAGGTAATGATAACATTTATATCTTGATACATGTATTAGAAAGATGAACCTACTTTCTTTAGTTTAATTTCAACTTTCATCAGTCATTGAAATGAAGACTATAAAATGTTATCAAGATTCATGTAAATTCAAGAAAATAAATTTTTATTGATAAACAACGTGATTACTATTAAACAGATTAAATATGCTGTAGTTAGTCTCATTGCTTGCGTTTATTATATTCGATCATATAAAAACCAAACTAATGGAGCATAGAGTCTAATATAATTGCTGAAAAAAGAGCATAGTACAAATGAGAACTGTGTTATTCAATAAAAATAATCATTCCATCCCCTAACACTGATGTTACATACAGTCCTATATATGATCAAATATAATTTTGAAAATTTTGACATAGTAGATGTTGCGAGACATAGAGTACTATGAATCTTAGGTTACTTCATATTACATTTAAAAGAGCATCCTGATTATTACAACCAAATATTTTTAATTTATACATATAGTCACGAGTGAAGATGATGTATTTATTTCATTCAGTGTAGCAACACAACATATTATTGAAAGAAAATGGTTATTTTAGAAACTTATTGTGAATAGAATACTAAATGACTTTAACCTGACTGTCATACCGATCAAGCATAAGTGAAGGTCAGCTTTGAATTATAGGATTCTGGTGATGATGTGAAGTTGTTTATCTGTTTGTCATCTTTGAATATATGTATGAATAACATCAATTTCTTGCAATTTTTTTTAAACCATAAGCGGTTTATTGTTCATTAAAAAAGTCTAATTTTCATTGAGGATTTCATTTTAGGCAAATGTAGCTATTCACACCTCGGTGTAACATAAATAAATTAGAATTTACGACTTGAAATGAAATTTCCAAACAAAATAACATTTTTATATGCAGTACTGAATGAACAGAAAATTAACCTAGCAGGCTTGATATCGCACATCTGTTAAACAGTGAAGAACGGATAAATGACCTCACATCAAGTTTAGATCGCAAGTTTTGGACACTTTTTCAATAAAGTAAGCTATGAGATATTTCCTAACTTTTCTCCTTTGATTTAATCAACCAGCTACTTGTATTCTGCTATTTAAAAAAAGATGTCGAAAATTATCAATGAAATTCCATGAATTCAAGTGATCTACACAAAATAACGGCATTAGATACACAGATATAAAGAATGTGAAGTAAATTACTTACATCTTCTTGTTCATTTTTCAATATTGGAGTTAAATTTTAGACTTATTGGACAAATATTTTAATGGCTTATTAAACCTCCTACCTGTTCTACAATAGTTTATTTGCCTACATATATTTTTACGGCAAGTCTTAATAAATAATTTTGTTGAATAACCAGTCTGAACAGGTATTTAAAGAACATTCCCTGGTTCACTAAAAAATAATCTTCAAAATTATTCCACCTTAAGCAAATAATTTAATTCAGCAAAATCTATGTACTTCGTTAACATTATTATGATTATGGGATTTGTACATTGTATTTTCAATATAAAAATTGGAAGTTTCAGAAAATAAAACTCCGTGGGAGACTATGCTTCAGTGAAAAAATCATATCTTATTAGGAAAAAATCTGTCTGTAGAAAGAATGAATTAGTATTTTTCTATAAACGACGTTATTGTATTTTTGTAATTGTTAATTCCAAAATAAAAAGAAACAGTCTCAACTCTAATCTTGTTATGTCCCGACAAGAATAATGAATGGTAACTTTTGGGATCTATAAATGGACCAATACCAAATGTATATTTCTATTGTATAATTATTAAGTAAATAAACTATGCATATTTATATTCCTCTTTTTATAAGCTTTCTTTTGACCCATAAACTATTATTATACGTTTTACCATTCTTGAGTTATGGCCTGTCTATTAATTACTAACTCCCTCATTTACAGCCACATGTGGCTAATTCTTGTACAAATGTTGTTTCATATTTTGTTGGTACGTCGTTGTCTGTTTGATTGATATATAAACTCAGTATGTTTGAAATATAAAAATTCATATTGCAGAGGCTGAGATTGGTGTTCTGGACTTAACTGGCTGGGCTAGGCGGAAGGCAAGGTCAATCAGAACTCTAGGCTGCACACATGTGTTTTGCGCTTCATTGTTCCGATCGATAAGTCACTGCTCTCTAATTGACGGTCACAAGCGATAACAAATCTAATGAATAATGAACATGAAATCCGAATATTTACCCTATACAACTATCCATGTTAAACAAGATAATAATAACTTTCTTATATTAGATTACTGAATTTCTCCACAGTATTATTGTTTACATATTTTATTTCACAATAACCAATAATAACTCAATAGATTATGCAATTAATTATCTAAAAAAAAATTAATCTCATTTTAAATTATTTATTTAAAATCATTCAATTCATTGGTTAAATGTTTAGCATTTCTTGCATTTCTATTGGATAATTAATCGCTTCACATGATTGGCTAATTATTCTTATGAAGATATATGACTATTAATTGTTCTTTATTGTTATTATTTCAATTACCAACCATATTTTCATCATGTAATTTTAAAAAATTAACTTTTTATAATTAAACTTCATTTTTTTCATATAATATGTCACATAAAAAGTTTATTCCCAAGTAAACAAACAAAAAAATATATATAAATAAATAACCCACTGATGATTAATGTTTCACAGTTATTCGATATAATCAAATGAAGATAAACATTTTGTTTCATATTTTATTGAAAACTACAATGGTAACCATAATAATTATAATTAATAATTTGAAATTTTCTCATACACAATCATGGCAAAATACATTACGTTTAGCAAAACGACATACACATCATGATGATATTGATATATTAAAAACTGCATTAGATAATTTTGTTTATAAAATGGATCATCGTAAATATAGTCAAAGAACAAGTCATTTAGTCAATATAACAAACAATTATGAAAAGAATATAACAAAGTTCAATCATGAATTAGATAATAATAATAATGAGTTAATTTTAGCAAATTATAGCAGTGACACTAATACATTAATTGACGATCTTCAAGAAAATAATTTAAAGAGCTATTTTATTGATCAAACAGTTAAAGATTTAAAACATACGAATTCAAAGAATAAGTTCTTTACACAAGTTCATAGTTCATCAAAAACATCATTTATTTGGAATATATTACAATTTTCATTTGGTTTATTATGTTTTATCATACATGTTATATGGTTCATATGGTTATTATGTCATACTGTATTATTTAAAATATGTCAACAATCTATTAGTTCTCAATTTGAAACTATTTCACATCTTAACAACAATGAAATGAATGAAAATGATTTACTTATTAAACATAATCAATTAACAATACATTCAGAATTACATTTAGGTTTTATAGGAACTATTTATGGATTTATTATATCTATTAGACAATTATCAAGTCCTTTTGTAGATCCTAAATCAACTACTACTTTAGATCAAACTAATTTAATGAATCGTAATTATTTATTATGTTATTTTACAAAGCATATATTACTTGGACTTTTAACAGTTTATTGGATTACTATATTTATCATCATTCTTATAAATACATATTATATAAAATCTATTTATGTAATGAATACTTCCAAAATTCCATTCATTCATAATCTATTTGTTATTTTGTATATAAGTTTTATGATATCATGGATATTTTCAATTGTTATACGAATAGGTAGTTTATTAATTAATTATAATTTACAAAAATATAAAATAAAACATTTATTGAATACAAATTCTATTCCTATACAACAAGTATTACATTATGAATGTATAAATATAAAAAATATAGAATATCAAAAAATGTATTTTTCTATTGTATGTAATCAAACAACATTAGAACAATGGTTAGAAATAATCACTAATCTATTAAGTGATATATTGCCAAATTTTTTAGTATTTAGTATGAGTATATTTAATTGTTTTATATTATTTAAATTACGTACTCATTCATATAATTCTATTCATTCAATTAAACAAATAAGAAACCTTTCAAATAATAGTAATAATAGTAATAATAAGAATATTATAACCTTGAATAATTTATCAAAAGAATTAATAGGTTCATCACAAAATCATCAAGATAAAACAAGAATTAGTAAAATATGTAAAACATCAACATCATCATCATGTTTAATGTATCAATGTGATTTACCAATTGAATCTCTAAAACAAAATCATCAATTAAACAATAATAATAATAATAATAATAATAATAATATAGTGATATATTAGATAAACAAACCATACAATTAAATCTATTACATAAAATCAATCAAATCATATATTTTTCAATGAGTTTGATTATAATAAGTTTTTGTTTATTCATTAATCATTTAATACGTTTAATTATTTATGGTAATTTAATGAAATCACAAATGAATTATTGTTATTCATGGAATTTTAATGAACCAGGTTTAAATAAACCAGAAAATATTAAATTATTTAAATTGATTTATGAACATTTATACATTCCACATCAATATTTACAAGGTTGTATATTCATGGAAATATTGATGATAACATTGATACCAATTATATGTTTTATTATAAGACGTTATAACCATTTATTTGATAAATTATGCTTTAAATTATATAAAATAAACGATATAAAACAAATAATAAATAATGATTTATATGATAAATCAATAAAAATGGATTATATTGATTTATCGAAATTAACAATACCAATGAGTTCACATGTAACATTAAATACTAATGAAGAGATTGGTAATCAAAGTACTATTACTACTTCTTTATCATCTACAATACAATCTTGTCAATTATTAACGGATACTATAATTCCACCTTGTGAATTATTAAAATTACAAACATTTACAAGGGAACAATTTGAACAAAAATCTCAAATATTAATAGATAAAGAATTACATTTAAAACCTGTGTATACAAATATGCCAACATGTTCTAATGAAGTATTAGAACAACAAGCAACGACAACAACAACTTTTGTACCAGTTTCTATAAAATTAGTAAATTTACAACCTTTATGTTGTCAACCATGTGATTTATTCACAAGTGGTACAAAAATCTTATCGAAACCAGATGATACTATCATAGAATGTGAATATTTAAATAATAGTTGCATTTATCCTATTGAAACTACAGGGTCAGTTGTAAAATTACATGTTATATCAGATTCCAGTGGATATGATGAATAGTGGTATTATTTACAGAACTATTAACAAAGTACAGAATAGGAATTAAATGAAATACCTTCAATTTTTCATGAAGTATGGCAAGTTCTTCCACTGATTTAGATTATTTCTAAATATTTGTGTTTATGTTTATATATATATATATGATTGTAACTAATAAATATTATCATAATAATTTGATGAGAGTATGAATTTTGTCTTTAAAGTCAAAAATTTCCTTAACAACACATCTTATTTAACATAAAGATCACGCTGTAGGTATTCACTAGTGAGATGTGTGTGAAAAAATCTATTTCTAGTACATAATGCTGTAGTCGGAGGAGAAGGCTCCAATTAGTCATGATTATTATTTGTTCTAGCATAAATTTGTTGTTGAATAAGAATAATTGACACCGTGGAATCAAATAATTTTGTGCGTTACATGCATGAAAATGATTTAGTTCATTAGTGAAAAATAATCATAATTGTTTTGCATATTCACATAATTCTAAGTTAAAGCTGAATGAAACAGATGAGAGAGAGAGGGACCATAACGTAATAGTACGAAAAAATATACAAATCATTGTGATTATGAATCAATTGATGTTAGATCACCGTTGGAAACCTGGAAGTACTGGACGGCCGTTTCGTCCCAGTACGAGACTCCTCAGCAGTGCGCATCCACGATCCCGAGGTTCGAACCCAGGACCTATCGGTCTCGCGCCAGGCGCTTAACCAACTAGACCACTGCTGGGGAGTCCCATACTAGGACGAAACGGCCGTCCAGTGCTTCCAGGTTTCCAACGGTGGTCTAACATCAATTGATTCATGATCTCAATCAAAAACTTAACAATCTTCACAACCCCTATACTGACCATTGTGATCATGGTGGACAAATTGATAAATTTGATGGTCAATGCAAGGATAATAATAAAGTAACAATAATTGTAATAATAATAATGGTGGTGGTGATAATAATAATATAAGAGAACGCAATTACCTGAATGGCTTAATTGATCAGGTGTCAAATATTTTATTGAATAATTTTGAAATAGTAAAAATAATTTCCATGACTATAAATGAGTAGTGAAAAATCGAGAAAAATGATCAATAAAAACGTTATTTTTATTAAATAGAATGTTTTTAACTATCGGTAATCGTGATAATTAATAATAATGGTTTGAAATTAGGCGGAGAAATAATAGAAGGAAGAAGGAGAGTAAATCGAATACCATGGGAATCCAAAGTGAACCGTAATCTATTTTTGAATACACAGATTGTTGTTGACACGTCGATTTGCTGCCGTTTCTGTATAAAGGTGATATCTGTCATAATTATACATATTTATTAATTGAAACGCTATTCTAGTATGTACTAAATAACTACTATCCACTATATATCTTTATATCACACTGGTTAGTTGCTCAAAGCAAATAATCATCAAACTTGGAGGTATGAGTCATAAGATTTTTTTAAAACTATACCGATTATCGTCCTTCCAATGTACATTCAATTTCAGGTATAAATGAATGGGAAATTCCAGAAAGGAACAACTAGAGAAGATCTATTGCCTTAACGAGGATGTTGTTTCACATGTAATTATCAAACTGGCATGAAAAAAAAATCAATCCAATGCTGCACCTTAATTGATAATTATATTATGAGCCAAGATAATCCAATTTAAATAGGTTCTATAAGCACAAACCTCAGGGAAATGACTTGTTGTAACATCTTGTTAGTAAAATTAAAGTACTCATTTACAAGCTTCATTGGATAACGATTCTGGACTAAGATTCTTTGGACAATTTTCAACTATGAATTGTTAAACTCTTTGTCAATGTAGTTATCACAAAAACTGGCCATTCTCAAATTATTATTACTTCATTATTATCCTTTGCATTGACCATCAAATCTATCAATAATAAGTACATTTTTCTTGTACTATTGCGACATAGTCTCTCTCTCATCTGTTTCATTCAGCTTTAACTTAGAATTATGTGAATATGCGAAACAATTATGATTATTTTTCACTAATGAACTAAATCATTTTCATGCATGTAACACTCAAAATGTTCATAATAGGGATTTGTGGAGTTTGTAGTATTCTCACAGCTGATTCACTGGTCAATCTAAGCTAGACCACCATTGAAAACCTAGAAGCACTAGGCGGCCGGTTCGTCCTAGTAAGAGACTCCCCAACAGCGCACATCCACGACTCCATAAGAGGGAATCGAACTCAGTACTGTCGGTGTTGTGTGCGAACGCCAAACCTCTATACTACTGAGCCAGCATCCAACTGTGTTAATGTCTAACTTCAATCGATCCATGAATGGTTGAGCAACCCTTCATACATTGTCTGAGAAGGATACCTGTCTCTACCCAACACAGATTGAACTCCACTGGTCACGACTTCTCATCAGAACTCTAAAAATTGAAGTTTGAAGCTGGCCACTAATGAGCACATGATTCTTATGATTATGAGGATTTGTGAAGATTATAGTATTTTAACAGTTGAATTCACGAGTTTTCAACAACAGTATAGCCTAGATTGATTCGTGAATTTAACTGTTAAAATTATATTTGTAAACTATTTTATTTCTATTTATCTATCGAAATCAATGTTTTAACTGAATGTATCAAAGAACTTGAAACGAATTAATTTTAATCTACAGTACTAGTTGTTCTCGCTTTATAAAAGTTTATCAAGGAAATCAATTGTATGAAACATAAAACTGATTATTGCTTAGACTACAAATTGCTGAGTTATCAGTTAAGCTATCAGGAAAAACTATACAAATTAAAAATGCTATTTTGTTGCCTATCTTAGTTTCAACATATGCCAAGTCATCAACAAAATTATTAAAAATCATTGTTCTCAATTTAATTCTATTTTTTTAAAAATTCAAACCATATTTTTATCGTCAAAGTAACTTATACATCGATCGTTTTGAAATATTAGTGGTTTATTTAAAGTTGGTTGACAAGTAAATAACTGTCAACCAAATATACTAAATAACTGAAAGATTGTATGAAGCATAAATCGATTTTAAATAAATTATTCATGAATTCAAAGACAGTATTCAATAAGTTATCTAGTTGTTTAATTGCCTTTATTAAATCCTGGAAACATATTTTTGGTAACGTGAACGATTACATTATGTTTAGTTGAAATAATAGAGATTTGTAGTTTTTGGTGTCATTGAGTTTACTCAGTCAGATGGTATTATTTATATCACACTAGATCAATTACCTCATTCAACAAAGTGCGATGTACAGCGCGTCTGAGTCAAGCGGTACAGGACAGTCAAAGTGAATATAAGAACAAGTATCAACCATGAAAACAACAAAAACCTCGAAAATATCTTGGAAATAAACTGATTTGAAACTGGTTTAAGAACTACGAAGCCCATTTCTGCAGAAGCTAATCGCTGATGACGTTGACCAAATTGATAATAAAAGCTCACCATTTAATTATCTTGTTTAAAGAACTCAACATCAGCAGAATGTCACAGTTAACTAGCTATTAGCAATTTCAGTTTTTATATGAAATGACATATGACGGATAAAGTTCTAGGATTTCACTATAATTATGAAGTGGTATTAACTTTAAAAATATTTAAAGATTGATAAAACCTATTACTTAATTATTTCATTATCAATTAGAATTTTATATGGCTACACACAGTAAATAACTGAACATGTAAGTTAACCATGTATTATAACATTCTCCAACAGTTGTCTCACACTCAGTACTATACTTTTAATTCTTTTCTGTATTTGATGTGTTTTAAGATAATTATTTTGATCGTCGAAGAATGGAACTGTTGAAATCTAAACTAAAAAGTCAAAATTATCAGAGTTCAACTAAGCGATTATACAGTAGTATTCACTACGATACTTGTACATTTTACATGTGTTTCTGATTTTGTATAATCGTGGTAGGATGTGAACCAAAAGATCAAAGTTTTACAAATATAATTAGCTTTCAATTATTGTTCTTGGAAAATTCAGGGTGATCACCAGAAATTCTATCGCATCTTATTATCCATTGGCTGTTCAAATGTATATCGAATGAAATATGTACGGAAAAATTTAGCCTGGATTTTGACGAGTATTAAAGGAAGGCCTCAATTAGAGCTTTTATGAGTGTTTGGAAAAGCCTGTGAACTGTGACACGACGTCAGTACACGAGCTACAATTTACTTAACTTACTTTCATCAAAAAAGCTAAACATTTTAGTAACTGACTGATAACACCATTTAGTAATACTGTAATGAAAAACAGAATGGAATTTTTTCTACTTAGAGATTTAAACTATAATTTCGGCCTTGTTTGATTGCAATTTAGAGCGAAAGTATGCACTACACATACATGTATTTATCACCTTTAACTCTCTGGGCAGAGATGGAATTTTGATCAGTCTAATCTGTGCCAATTTGGGACAGTTACCCACCTCAAACAATGGGTGAAGGGTTAAGATCCTGAGTTCGCGTCCTTCGTGCAAGATCATGAATGCACACTGCTGAAGAGTCCCATACTAGGACGGAATGGCCATCCAAAGCCCCTAGGTCTCCCATGGTCATCTAACTTCAACCGACCCATGAATTCAACATTTAATTTACTGCCTATTCATTCTTGTATTAGGAACTATAAAGTGTCTAAAAGCATATTTGAAAGATTGATTGATCTAATAGCTTAATTATTCTTGTCAGAGTGATCTTTTTTTGAATAAATGAACTTCTAACTATTTAAATTTGTAAACATTGAATCTCTATAATGATGATCTTAAAAAATGTCTGGTTTAAAAACTTATCTAGTTATTCAGTAAAGATATTCTGTAAATTGTGTAATGGACGTTAAATGATATTAACCTTTACCATTATCAAAATAAGTGTGAAAGTAATCATCTGACTCATGATCTTAACCATTGAAATTACTATAATATCCACAAAACCCATCTGATATTAATCAACATTTGCTCACTAGTGACTGGCTTCGAGAGGTATATCCTGGAGTTCTATTGAGAAGTAGTGACAGGTGGAATTCAACCAGGTCTGTTGTGAGATAGTAACTCACTGAAGACAATGGTGGATGTGTCACTTAATTTTGCGGATTAGTTGAAGTTAGACATTAACACCGTCGGATGCCGGAAGGCTCAGTGGTCTAACAGTTAAGTGATCGCGCGCGAAACCAGTAGGTCCTGAGTTCGGGACTCGCAGGGGGCGAGGTCGTGGATGCGCACTGCTTAGGAGTCCCACATTAGGACGAAAAGGCCGTTCAGTGCCTCCGGTTTTCCATGGTGGTCTAGCTTCAACTGACTCATGATCTTAACCACTGAAATAAATAAATGTTGAAAATAATATAAAAATAGAACTGTATAAATGATTGATAAGACTGACAGTTGTTTTTA